GTTCTGATACCACGACGAAAGCAAGACTTTTCGTCCAATTTCAATTTCAGATTCTCAAATGGGAAAAAACAAAGAAGTCTGAAACCTCTATTGCCTATTTCAATTATATTCAGGCATTTCAGACAAGAAATTAATAATAACAACAATTTAAGTAGATCTTTTAATTTCCTAAAGGAATAAGAATGTAGTGAGAACTTATCGAGTCCTACCGCCTCTTTACATTTTGTCCTCAAAATTTACGTTAACATACTCCTTCAAACTTTCTGCTTTGGCTACCATACACCCCTCAAAACAAGTCAGTCTAATCAAGCTACAAAAAAAGTAATGAATAGAGCATTCAGAGCAAAAAAGGAGGAAAAAAGAAAAACAGAATGAGACAGACAGATAGATGGATAGATAAATAAATAGATAGATAGACAGGCAGACAGATAAAAGTGACGCCATGGAGAGAGAGTGACACACAAACAGAGCTTCGCTGTCGTGCACTTCAACGTGTGCATGTATATGACATGTTCAGTTGTGTCAGCCCAAAGCCACAGTGTAATTCAAACACTGCCCCTTGCTGTTGCAGCCTAGTTAATATAATATCTATTGGAATTTGTTAACAGGCAGAATCTACTTTGGGTCCGCAATTGAAGCAACACTGACAGATTTGTTGGTTGAATTAAAGTGGTTGACATTGGGAGGGGGGCTTCGATGAATAGATGAGTTTTTAGAGAGTGCACGAGAGCAAAAGGTTGCAGGTTTTAGCAACTTCCAGATTCATGAAGCATGACACCGCACACCTCTCTGCATGCAGACTGTTCGTTGCAGTAGACAAAATATGTCTGCTAAAGCCCGGTGTGTATCTGATTTGAATAATGTTTAGTCATTGAAAAACATTTTTGCGATTGTTGTGCACCTTTTTGTGCTCATCCTCAATGGTGCAGGGTCACACAGCCCTGTAGCGATACACTCTGCAGTAAACAGGCTGGTCAAGGATTGAAAATACAATGTTTTCTTTTATTGTCCTCAAGAGGTTCTGAAGGTGCAGGTTCAGATGAGAAATACCAAGCGAGAAAGTGCAGCGTGAAGAAAATTGCGGAAAAAGATGAGGTTTACGCTGACGGTCTGCCACCGAGCGACCTACATGATGACATGAATCATGGATGAGTGTGCATCAGCGTATGTATGTGTGATTGTGCTGCGTGGATGCGCAGATACAGTATTTCTGGAAAACCCATTCCTTTAAATCTGTGTCTGTAAGCAAGAAAGCCCACTACCTGCATTCCAAATACCACACACACACACACACACACACACACACACACACTGCCATGGATGCCTCCTATATGGCGGCGTTGCCATGCTCTGCTCCACATCGTTTCTCCCTTTCTACCTCATCAATCACTTAAGCTCTCCCACTGCTCACAGCAAAGCTGGACCAATTACGTCCTCTAATTGAGCCAATTAGCAATGAAACACTAAGATGCACCCCCTGAAATTCTGGTGGACCCTTCAGGCACATTTACACCTGCCGGGGACTTGGGGTTTCACCAGGGATCCTGGCTTGTGTGGGCCTCCACTGCCCTCTGTGCCCGCTCAGGCTCGAGGTGCAAGTGTGGAGCAAGAAGAGTTAGTTGAATGGGCCCCATGGATGTGTGTGTATAAGATTCCAGGGTTAGTGAAGCAGCACCTGAGGTTTCCACGAGGACTCGCTGAAGGGTCCAAGCCTACCCAGAGAGTCTGAGCTAATCGATCAAATTTCATTGTTTAGACCATATTCGCAAAATGACAATTTGTCTCATAGAGCTTCAAGCAAGGTGCGACATGCTCTGCCCTCAACCTTCAACAAGAGTGTGGAAGAACTACCCAAAAAAATAATTTACCAGAAAAAAAAATTCCGCGTGTAACAGCGCGTCACTGATACAACAATATTTAAACATTCATGAGAAAAGACTGTCTATCATACATGGAGAGGTGTATCAATGCTTGAAGTATTTATATGAAAGAAAAGGAGAAGAGATGAAGGGAGCAGCTTTTACAATTGTTATGATAGTGGTATCACCAATAATGTGTATGCATATTGTATAGCGAGCAATCTAGTTGTAATCATAATCCGTGATCAGCTGCCACCAAGATCCACGATGTACCTGCCGCCACGATTATGGATCCGCACGATAAAGCTCTGTACTTACATGTAATGGTGAGACATTAATGTGATGAAGAGGGAGAGGAGGAAAGAGAGACTCCATGTTTCATGTGTCCCCTGACAATCTAGCAGCAGGTCCAAGGCCGACCTGAACCAGTTCCAAGTATGAGCTTTTATCAAAAAGGAAGGTTCCTTAACACCTGTTTTCATTAACACCCGTTTTCTATTCATCTGCATTCTGTCTTTCTATCTGCGCACCTCCCCACTCTTTCTTCATCTGCCCTCTATCTCCCATTTTCCCATTTTTGATGTGCTTGCCTGTGTCCGCGTGGGTGGAGGGCTCGGCCTTGTGTGCAGTGCAAAGCAGGCCGCCCTGTAGACTCTCCGTGGTTTAATTAGAGCACGCCTCGCGCTGCCCGCTCCTCCACGAGAGGATGCACACCCAGACACACACATGGGTGCGTGGGCAGCACAACAAAGTCCACACTGAGAGGAACAAAGGCAGGCACCAATATATTAAGGCTTAACACACTGTGCCGAGAGGAGACAATGAGCCATTTCAGACGCTAGTACGGACATGCTCGCAATTACGGCTCTCTGAGCGGAGACAAATCTGTTTTCGCTACGCTTTTCCCTGTGAGTTGGAATATTTCCTCCGCTCAAAGAGCTTTTTTGTGCAGAGGAAACTTTATTATTACATGAACGGATCTCCTCATTTATTCCCAACGTTGTGTTTGAGACTGCTCGCCCGCTCATCAACCTATACGCTCTAATTATGTGCCGTCCTGCCTGAGGAATCTTAACTTGCATACTTTTATATTTAAATTGCTTTATTGGCGGTGGGAGAAGGGGGGGGGGGGCAACAAAAAAATGGAGGCGCCTCAGTGGGTGCAGGCCACGCAATAACACGGTTAATGATGACTTTAAATGGGACAATTATGGCACGGTGATAAAGCGAGAGGAAGCATGAAAGAAAGGAAGAGGTAATGGTGAATTTTAACAATCAGATAAGACCGAAATAGTGCACGAGATTTTCCAGATTTTTTATTTTCCCCACAGTGCATTGTTACTGCTCGCGTCTGAGTCCTGCGCCGTTACATAACACCACCCAACAATGTTAATCTCCGCCATGCCTCGTGCATATCTGGTTCTGGGTCTGTTACATGAGGATTTGCACATTTCCGCACTAGATTACATGAATGAGCGTACAGTGCGGAGCCACTCGTTCATGTGCGGGTCAATTAAGGCTTACTGCATGTGTGTGTGTCTTTGTGCGCTGTATGTTGCCACAAAGTGTCCAGGGCTGTTATAAGCTGCTTACAGATGCCCATTAATGACCCTTGACTTTACTGGGCAGTGAAAGGCTCACCCTAATCTCAAGCCTCTCCTCTTCATCCTCAATGTCTGCTGTGCTGTTGTTCCTAAAATTGGTAGTAAAAACGTTAATAATAAGAATGCATGGCCAGTTCTACACCTTGGTTTATGATAGGCTGTTCTTGGCTTTGGTAATTCCGTTTTTTGCTCTGATTTTATTGGCCCTTTAGTTACTCAGCCTAACTGGTGTTATTTTTTCATAAATTGCATGTTGACTATCTCACAAAGTCTTTTAAAAATAAAAGCCCATTCAGCTCAGTATAAAACATTCCTGCTATAAAATGGGCAGTAAACATCATGCTTTTATTTTGTAGAGAAACTGCTGAAGGGGAAGTGATTTTATGAATATTGTTGCCAGGATGGAGATCAGCAGCTGCAACATCAGTGAATGTCTTTCTGTCTGATATCATGAAATAAAAATAAATTATAATAAGTTAAGATGAGATAAAAATAAAAACTATATACAGCGTTAATGTAGAACCAGTGCCTCATAAAAATAACATTAGAAATGAAATGAAAATAAGTTACGTGAGACAGTAAACTAATATTAAAGTGGGAGTAAGTAGTGATGATAATGGGAATAAGTTATATAGAGTTTAGCATAAGATAAAAACACACAGTACACAAACCAACCTGAATAATATTGCACATAGTGTTTGTATTATTTTTACATTATTATTTTAATATTTTAATATTATTTATTATGATTAGGACTTTTGAATATATTGCAAGTCCAAATAGCACCAAGGTAGACACAGCACTTCTCCGGCCACTAAAAACACACATTCCAAGAGTGAAGCTGATATGATGAATGATTTGCGAAACATAAAAGTGAAATGTTGTGGAAAGTAATAGGTCAATAAATATTGAGGCATCAGCGTCGGCGTTGTGAGATGTGTGCATGTCAGGAATAAGCCAGGAGGCAGTTTGCCAGGAGGGATACGGTGCATGTCCTCACACAGGTCAGACCGAGACAAGGTGAACAAGTCTGATTTTGGCTTTTCATGCATAATAGAAAAAGGAATCATGTTGACGTGTGCAGTCAACATGGAGTACAGATGAGATTTCAGCAGGTGAGATTAACCACAGGAAGTAAAACGTGAGGATTTTATTCCTCCACATGGTGCAGAGCTGCTGTTTTTCACAGTGTGATAAATGAAGTGAAGCAAAACACATTGATCACCACATGAAATGTTCCCCAAATGAAGCCTATTGAATTGGTGTCAACAACTCTGTCTTCAGATTTAGTCATTTCATCTCCGCTGCTTTTTCATTTCAGGAAACATTTTTTTTGCTTGGCAACAGTTGAAGGGAAAGTGTTGCGCCGACAGCATTCAATGGAATATATTTCTGTTTCAGATAAGCTGTAATCGCGCTTATCTTTCTCTGTCCCTCACCCCCCCCCCCCTCGCCACCTTGTCTGTCTTTCTGTTTTTCTCTCTTTGTGTCACCGTCCATCTTTAAATCTCCTTTCCCTCTCTGTCTTTTTCTGCAGGATTCAGTGGCTGTTAAAACATCTAATCAAATGATCTGGATAACAGAAGACCAATAGGGATGGAACGTAACAGAGCCATGGCTGGGGAAGTGTTACGGATCGCCATCACTCAGAACCAGCACTGACCTGGCACCAAGACCGAGATTCGACCTCCTTCTTCAGCACCCTGTGGACCTGACTTTACCCCAACAACTGCTTCGTCCTACATCTCACCTCCACTCAGCGCTCCTGGTGATTGTACCTCCAAAAAGGCTCCTTTCAGTCTTTCAGGGCCAGTCTGCTTTTGTTCTTTTAATCCCTCTCTTCTGCTTTAACACATTGTTAGTTGTAATCCACATTCCCTCATAGACTCCAAAACAGACTGGAAGCAGGTGGCTGAACAGTATGAATCCAGTCATGTACCCCCTTCCACTTGCTCCAAGCAAACAAAGTCGGCGGGGTTTGTCGTCCAGGTCACGCCCTCTGACTCTTTTGACAGACTGGTGCCTGATGGGGGCGCTAGGTCTCATTCTATTCTTCAGCCTGGCCTCGAGCCAGAAGATGGACCCTTCCAAGCACCCCATAGTCACCACCAACTATGGCAAGCTCCGAGGTGTAAAGAAAGACTTGAACAATGAGATTCTAGGCCCGGTGGAGCAGTACTTGGGCGTGCCCTACGCCACGGCACCCATTGGCGACCGCCGCTTTCAGCCACCCGAGGCCCCGGGATCCTGGCAGGAGATCCGCAACGCCACGCAGTTTGCCCCTGTGTGCCCTCAGAACGTCCAGGGGGTGCTGCCAGAGATAATGCTGCCCGTGTGGTTCACAGACAACCTGGATGTGGCAGCGGGATACATCCAGAACCAGAGCGAAGACTGCCTCTACCTCAATGTCTACGTGCCGACGGAGGATGGTGAGTGGACAGTATTAAATAAAGGGGGGGGGTGAGGGGTGGGAGTTTTGGATTGGTTGGTTTTAAATTCTTGACCCTTTGCTAAGCCCTAACGCAATGCCTGTCAAGCACACAGTAAATATTCAGTTTACGTTGACAACAGGGGCCGTTCTTTTACATTTCTTTAAAAAATGGGTCCTGGACAGAGGTAATGTCTGTCTGACAGATTTTACCTCCAAGAGTTGGTTGGAAATGGCTGACTGACCTTTTAACATTTCCAGCCAACTCGGTTTAAAAGGAGCAGTCCGTAAATGTCCTGTGGTTAGATAGCTATACACACACAATGTTGTGCTTAAACACTGAGGGTATAACTTCTCTACTTGTCCTCACCAGTTGTTAATCCATGCAGATGGCAAGAAAATCAAGGCACAACATTTTTGTGTTGTAGTGTGGTGTTAGGCCTGGGCCACACTGGAGGCGTGAGCGTCAACATATTCCGTGTTGCGTAACATCTTGCTTTCATTTTGATGCTCATGCTCTTAGGTAAGAGCGGCTCCACTCCCTGCATGAGATCAGCATCTTGTGAGTGTCTCGCCTATTTTCTCCACGCAAGGTTCACAGCAGGATAGACATTGAAAATGAGCTTTCACCATAAGTCATAATACGACCCAAACATAAATAGTTGCAACACTTCCCATTCCTTCTTTCAAAGTAAAAGCACTTGTCAACTGAATCTATTCATATATTTTAACAAGTTTTTTAGTTTTAGTTTTAGCTTCATACTGTAGAATTCTAGCATTTAGGTTGAGAACGCACAACGCAGCAGAATCGAGACACAGCCATCAAGTCCTGCACATGCATCCATTGTGGCCCAGACAGTTTTAGTGGAGTGTTTAACAAATGACAATTAAAGAAGGTAGAGAACTATTATTTCAAATACTATCCCATTCATCTGCTTTGCTTGCATTGACTTTAAACCAAGCAGCTGCTGCTTTGAACCATTGCTGTTCATGGGAGGGATTCTGGAAAAGACAATATGTTCATTCTTCTCCAGATGAATGCACTACACTACCACATCATAAATATTGCATAGAAGCTTCTCGTAGATTGTGAATCTAAGATTTAGAATGAGGTGTGTGTACAATATGCAAATTATTCCATTTATTTTTATTTTTTATACCCCTCCCTGTTATAAAGCAGCACTGGTGCTTTATGGGTAAAGGATATGGTGATGTTTGACTTTTCCTTTTTTTCCCTTTTACCTTCATGAACCCTCTTCTCTCTGCTCAGATCGTACTGCAGACGTTTTTTTCTACCCAGGCACGATTAGGTGAGCGAGCAATAAAAGAGAAGAATTCCACATTTTGTTGGCAGGTGTAATATGAGAGACTTCCATCACCCTCCACCTCCTCTTCTCTCGCTCTTTCTCCCTCTCCTTGCCTCGGGTGTTGTAAGACGTGTTTCCCATTTGTCTTTTGGTTTCTACATCTCTTATATAAGCTGCTCTAAGCCAGCAGAGAAAAGGTGGGTTTCACTTGCAGAAAGAATACACGTCGTTCTGACATGGGAGATGACAGGAGGTATTAAAAAAATTGCACAAGGAAAAAAAGATCATCCTCATTTTGGGAAAGATGTCTGCTTATCTTATGTATGTTTGCATTTATTGATACTTTTTTATGTGATGAGGTACTGATTTCATTTTTGAACACATCCCTCACTCTAACATATTTCAGTCTCCCTTTCAGCACTTCCCTCACTTGCCCGGACTTCTTTTCTGTCTTTTTTTTTTAAAGACCTCCACAGCTCAACATCCTTCCCTCCGCCTCTCCGCTCAGACACTGCAGCCTCAGCCCTCGACACCCCATCATTGCCACTTAAAGCTCCTCGGGCACATACAGAACACAATAGATCAGGTCTTGAGTCATTTCCCACTGTCGTGCAGGTTGTTTTTCCCTGTTCCCTGAGATGAACGACTTTGTGGAAATGCAAGTGCCATAACGCAGACCATTTAAACACAAACACACATTTATTTACAGGGCTGTATGTTCACTTTTTTTGCACATAGCACTGGTGCTGCTTTACTGCATATGATGCGTTTAATCTCATGACAGTGAGATGATCAAAATCTATTTTAAAGGGTAAAATGGATTGATTTAACTCCTTATTGCACCCTAATGGACTTGGAATTTTGTAATCCATAAAATAGCAGTCTGTTCAACAGCACAAGACCTTCGGGCGACAAAGAAGGAGGACAGGTTTTTGTTAAAGAGAAAGCCAAGAGAGTTTGTACTTGTGTTTTTTCCCACAAAGTCAAAAATGCTTCAAATCAAGTCTTGAATTGACACATTTTTTATTCTATGTCCGAACAGCAAAGTACACAAGACCTGAAGAGTACATCTCTTAATGTATGTAGAGCTCTCCCAGAAAACCACCTTTGATTTCCTGTCCATTTACCAAATTGTTATGTCAAAGATATCATTGCATATACAGTTACAAGTAGCCCTTGTGATGTATGTGGCCCACTTTATAGCCCTAATGAATTAAAAAAGATATCAACATTTAAAATACCCATCACTCGATACAGACTTCAATGCCTTGGTTTATTGAGGGGAAAAAAAGCAGGCAACATATGAACTTGATTCATTCCTCATCCTTCATCATCATTGCTGGCACATTTATGGTGATCAAGTCAGGCATATCATTGCTCAGCGTTCCTTTAGCTGCCCTGGGGTTGTCTTTGTTTTGTGCTCCTCCTTCTATACCTCCTCCGCTTCTCCTGCATTGATTTTTTTGGGGGACGTGTTAGGAGAGGAGGAGAGTGGGATGAGGAGAGGAGAGGGGAGATCAAACAACTGCCACCATGTCCGTTGGGACTATATGAGCTCAACTTGCTGTCACACACCACAAAGTTAAATCTGCTCACATAACGAGACATGCACACACAGATTCTCTCCCATTTTCTTTTGCTGTGCCACTCATCTCCTCTCACTTCTGTTCTTCTTATGTGGTGTAACATGAACGGTGCATCTGTCAGAATCTCCAGAGTTCTTTTAACTCGTGTTCAATTGGTGGAGCTAAAATCTTCTTTTTTTTTAAAAAAGGAAAACCTTCTTAAGTGGATTAATCCTGCAGAATTACTTCTTAATGCTGTCATCAGTGCAAAACATTTGTTGGTTACTCACGGCTCCTTAATTCATATACTTCAGTGCTGAGGAAGTCGCAAGGCTCTGCCATGTGTTGTCATATATTTTTCGTGTCACATGAATAAGCGTGTTTGTGAGTTTGTAATAAATGAGAAACAAACCAAGAAATGAAACACATGCAATCATCTTACAGTAATAAAACAACATCACACTTGTTACTCTCTAATTAACAGGAGCTTAATCTAATGTGGAATCTGTGATTTCTCGTGTTTTGGGGGGAATTTACCTCTTCCAATATTAAAGGTAAAAAATAATTTCAACATCGTTCTTCATCATCACATTCTCTACACAGCGTGACCTATTCCTAGACCATCCTGTAAAAAACAATCCCATAGGTCGCCTGGACGCCGATTTATTACGACCCATACTTATGTTTTATTGGTAGGTGACCTCTAGTAGCTGTAGTAATTAAGAAAAGGAGGAAGTACAGGATGTTAAGAGGCAGCGGGTCGTGTTGGATGGATGAAGATGACAAAACGTGTCCTTTTATTCAGCATCCTTAACAGTGTATGTGCATCACTGTAACTATGGTGACAAAGGTCCGGTGAGCCTGCTATTGTTAGAGGACAAAAGGTTCGGACAAATACTCTTGGTTGTTCAGGTTGGAGGACCTATTTGCCCTTTTTTGAGTTATTTAACATTTATATTGAAGGATAAATGACTAATAACTCAACTGGAATAAACTGAGTGAGAGTTAGGATGTCACCACAATGTAAACTATAAAGCCAGCTTGAACTCTTTGTATAAAATATCAGGCCTAAGGACCCAGGGGGTTTTTCTGCCCTCCAGCAGGTAGCTTCCTTACAAAACACAGGGAAGGAGGGGGCTCCACTGGTTCCCCAGGAGATGAAATCCCATAAATCATAGCGACGGGTTTTCATGTGGCTCCTGCAAAGTCACGCTGGATCGATGGACGAGGGGAAAGGAGGAAAGGACCGACCTCCGCCACCGCTGCTGCCGCCAGGCTTACAGACGCACAACATTCCTCTCTCAGCAGTTGTTAACGGAGCAAAAGACGTCATGGCAAATGAGTTGGGATAGCTGGACTCAGCAGCCCCTAAATGGGAACTCGCTGTAAATGTTTACCCGCACACTCATACAGCTGCGAGCTGTGGGCAGAGGGCATACTGTTGATGTGATGAAGAAACCATTGCTTTGATGTTAGCAGAAAGATGATGCATCTCCACTGACTGTCCAGCATCCACACTGGAAACCGAATCCAGCCCATTCAAGGCAGACAACCTGAAACAGTCCATCTAACAACGGGAGCAAGCACCATAGAATCAACCTAATCCTGAAAAAGCTTCTAAAGATCGTATACATGAACCTAGACTGAAAACAAAATGCACATTTCTCGCTATTTTCATCAAAATGTATTTAAATGCAGAGCATTTCTTTAAATATTACATTTTCCACCAAGCAGCATTTTGCTTTATGTAGCTGCAGGGGTTTGCGTAGAGCTCACTGGTCGTTAGTATTACTAAACATTGATCAGGTTATGGATGAAAATTTGTGCATAACTTTTCCAAAGATGCCATACAAATCTTTTAATGAGAATAGGTGCCTGATAACAGACCTTCTGCACCTTATGGTCTCCTTGAACAATGAAATAAATGGGTGATAACACCCCAGTAGTAGATTTAGTGGACCCTTACTAGCCTAAATATATAGGACAGATAACAGCCCTTCAGTTACCCTTTGTCCAACCATTGTACAGAACCAATATGTATGTCACTCCTCAGACAAGTGTTCGGCAATCAAACAAGCATGGGTCTTATATAAACTGGGACAGACACCAATAATGTTGAAAGAACTTTA